AAACAGGTGAAAATAGTCAATTCAATCCAATATTCTAAATTCATGTATGAAATGAAGAGGTAATAATATATCACCCCATATAGAAAAAGCTAAATGAGTGATGTCACACACTAAAACAGGGTTTAGTCTGTTTTACTTGCTGTCAGAAGGAGACTCAGAACATCAGTAAATCCTGCAGTGTCTAATCAGTGTTTGTGTGTTTACTTCCGGCAGCAAACCAAGGAGAAGGTGAAGCTTCTGATCCAGTTAGCGGACAACCTGGTGGAGAAAGGCCACGCCCACGTGTCGGAGCTGAAGCGCTGGGTCAGCACGGTGGACCGCCGATACCGAGACTTCTCCCTGCGCATGGGCAAATACCAGGAGAGCCTGGAGAGAAGCCTGGGGGTCAGCTCTGAGGTACACACTCATTACACTGTAGTTTCTTCCCTTTTACTCCATATTTTTGTTTCAGATTATTGATTAAAAGATATATGTATGTTCCTTTACGCAGGACAATAAAGACTTGGAGTTGGATATTATTCCTGCCAGCCTGACAGACGACCCCGAGGTCAAACTGCGTGACCCCAACCCCGAGGTCAACGAGGAGAAGAGGAAGTCTGCCAGGAAGAAAGAGTGAGTGCAGGAACAAAGTTAGGAAGAGCATGACAGAGAAAAAAGTCTTTACACAATGAGAAGTAGAAATTACAAAAATGTCTTGTGACAAAAAACTGTGACACATGTAAGGTATAAGAAATGCTATTTTAATTTAAGCGTCCAAGTTTTTGTTTGTAAAATAATAGACCTACTGTGCAGCATGGCCCAAACCTGAAACACATGGAGTATGTAACATGATGCAGTAATGTACCCTATTTAACTCAATTAATTCATATCTACTCCCAAATGAGTGTCTTCTCAATCTGTTGTTATAATAGTCATCATCTGCTTCCTATAGTCGTCCAAAATTCCTATTTTTAAAGACATTAAAGAAAACATAATTATGTTCAAAGTACAATTATCTCCTCTGAAGCGTCTGAAATGGTTTTGTCTTGACATTTTACGAAGAAAAGAGGAACATGTGTATACTCATCTGACCACTATAAAAAAAAAAGAACCTAATGCATAATTCATGCCAGCTGATCCTCGTGATGTTTCCCTCTAAATGTTTTTCTTGTCTCAGGTTCATCATGGCAGAGCTGCTGCAGACAGAGAAGACCTACGTCAAAGACCTCCAAGAGTGTCTAGAGGTATGGAAACTGTTCTGCTTGTCCGATTCTGTTTTGAAACAACAAATATTTTCCTGTCTACAGTACCTTACCTGTCTGCCCGTCTCTCTGTCAGAACTACCTGTGGGAGATGACCAACGGCGTGGAGGAGGTTCCTGCCGCCATCGCTAACAAGGAGCACATCGTCTTCGGCAACATGCAGGCTATCTGCGACTTCCACAACAAGTGAGAGACACATACAATGTTTATGTAATATGATCCAGTGTGCAGGGGAATCAGGCTTTGCTATACGTGGTCCATGTTTTCCACCGAGACTTTTCTGAAACAACGTGTGAAGATACAAGCATAGCAAAAACCCTGGCCTGTTACTGGATATGCTTTGATTCTAAGCCTTGGAAATGCACTTCATTGTCAGAGCTTTAAAAACTCCCAAGGGTAACTTTTTTCTTCTTCTGATACCTGAAGGGGAGCTGAAGAAGCATCTTTGAGGTGTTCCTTCAAAGACAGCTCATGTTCTCCTGGAGTTTCCCCGAGGAACCTCTTTGTTTCTGATGCTTTGTGGTTCCATGGTTCCTCAGAGAAACATTATCGTGTACTCATTGCCTCCATTTAGATCTTAAAGGAACTTTTAACCTGCTGGTTCTTTTGGGGGAAAAAATATTTGAGCGGTCTGGACATTTTGTTTTACTGTCAAAGAAAGCCAGATTATTCCCTACACTCACTTTATATTTGGACTGTGTCAATTATTAGGGTTTTCTGCAGCTGATCCATGTTAGAAAAAAGTCTCCATTATGATCTTTTGCCATGTGTGTATGTGTTTGCAGTATTTTCCTGAAGGAGCTGGTGAACTATGAGCAGCTTCCAGAGGATGTGGGTCACTGCTTCGTCACCTGGGTGAGAATCGGCCTTCATGCCACATGTTGTCAAACCAATATGTGTCCTTAAAAGTCCTAATATGGGTTTAAGCTTGAGTAGAGCATACACAAATGACCCTGTAAAAACGTATCTCCCCTCCCCTCCTGTTTTCCAGGCTGATAAGTTCCACATTTATGTTGATTACTGTAAGAACAAACCGGACTCCAGTCAGCTCATACTGGAACATGCCGGCACCTTCTTCGACGTGAGTAATCATCATTCTGCCACAGATCCATTTACATCATTTCAACTCATCCATCTAACAGCTAACACCATTGTGTCTTTCAACCACCTCCTCGTAAACTGACCCAATCTGGGCTTCTCTAAAGCTTCTTAACAAAAAAAGTTCATACACAATGTATCTCCTTTAAATGCTTGCTTCTGTAAGTTTCAGGATAATAAACTGATGCCTTCAGTAACACCTGAAGCAGTATAATATCATGCTCATTGTGATGCTTCAGTTTAAAACGCAGCGGATAACCCAACAAACGCTTGATACAGGGATATCTTTATGATGGATGCCTACTGTGGAGCACGAAGATAAACCGGAGTCTAATTTATCATTTTAATTTAGCACTCCAGTAGGTACTCTGTCAGGCAGATTGCTTAGACTTGGAGGGGAAATTGTTTGCGTGCAGCTGCTGCTTTTTAATTTCCCTCCTGCAGCTGGAGATGGGGATGATTGTGAGACTCACCTCCTGTGTCACTAGGTGGTGCTGTTCGGTCATGAAATAGTTTAGATTCCCATCTATTGAACATTTCACAGTTATGACAGTTGCTCTAATGTTGAACTATTTTAGGATTTGCTGTAATGTTCTGTCTGTGTATGAACAGGAGATTCAGCAGAAACGTGGACTGGCTAACTCCATCTCCTCCTACCTCATTAAACCGGTCCAGAGGATCACCAAGTACCAACTACTGCTTAAGGTTGGTACACAGACACAGCATCAAAGTTTAGATTGCACAAATCAATTTAGATAACTAATGCTTTTCTGCTCTGTTTCACCCCCTCATTATATCTGATATCTTCTCCTCTCGCTCTGCAGGAGTTACTGTCATGTTGTGAGGAGGGAAAAGGGGAGATTAAAGATGGTTTGGAGGTGATGCTCGGTGTCCCTAAGAGAGCTAATGATGCCATGCATCTCGCCATGATGGAGGGTAAGACACTGTCTATACTGCTAAAGTTTTCAACATCACTTCTGTTCTTATTAGAATTTGGATTATATATCTGTAATTGTTAAACGTTTTCCAGTTTGTTGCATTTTTGTTTGCCAGAAGTTTTTCATAAATTAAATGAATTGCATTATTTTTTAACTATTAATTACTTTACTGCTCGGCATTTCCCAAGACATAGCCCACTTATTTATTCCTATGCCACCTTATGATTGTCTTTGTGTTCAGACCTTGAGCAGCTCGGGTGATATCAAGTCTTGTCCCTCTCGTCCTCAGGGTTTGAGGAGAACCTGGAGGTGCAGGGCGAGCTGATCCTGCAGGACAGTTTCCAGGTCTGGGATCCACGCTCGCTGATCAGGAAGGGGCGGGACCGACACCTCTTCCTGTTTGAGTTCTCCCTGGTCTTCAGCAAGGAGATCAAGGACTCAGCTGGAAGAACCAAGTACCAGTACAAGACCAAACTACTGGTGAGTGCCGCAACATGTGCAGCACTGTGTGTGTTTGCATGCAGTAATAACTTCTGTGTGTTTTAATAAAACAGATGGTTAGCTGTCAATGACTTACATTTCTGTCCTGCAGACATCGGAGTTGGGGGTGACCGAGCACATTGAGGGCGATCCATGTAAATTTGCACTTTGGGCAGGAAGAACCCCCTCCTCTGATAACAAAACGGTGCTAAAGGCAAGTAAAAAATGACATTTAAATGAAAAATGTACTAGATGTGTCTGTTCTAGTTTGCTATCATCAAGAATTTTTATTTAAGGTTAATCATAGTTCTCTCTCCACCAGGCGTCCAATATGGAGGCTAAACAGGAGTGGATTAAAAACATCAGGGAGGTGATCCAGGAGAGGATGACTCACCTGAAGGGGCCGCTCAAAGAGCCTCTGCATGTGCCCAAAACACCAGCGATGACCAAACCAAGGAATAATGCTAAGAGGTAAGCAAGGACACACAAACACAATTTATATAAAAAAATCATTTTGGATGAAGAAATGTGTGTGTTGACGTTTGAGATGCTCATAAGCACACATCAATTTAGTCAATACCTGGTATTGGTACATTTACAGTAGTGAGAAAATGTCTAAACATGGTGAATAAATTCCTTAAAAGACAAACATTTTCACTTGTAGTCACTATGATAGGAAAGTACATCTCCACAAGTTGTAAGGGAAAGATAAAGTATATAATAAAATAATATTTTTGTAACAAAATTGGTGTCATTATAGTATTCTTCCCAAACACGGCTGCCCTATAGAATTGCAGATTATTGCCTACACAAAACTGACCCTCACTGACTGTATAAATGCTCTTAAAATTCAGTGTCCCGCATTATTCCTGGAACTTCCTGGGATTAAGGACTTGACTTTTTTCCCACTTCTACTGTTGCCACAACTAGAAACATCATGATTGTAAACAGTGGCAATGCGGGCAGAAAGCTTATCACCGTGGTAAAAAATGTCATCACAGCAGATAAGATTTAAAACAGTGTATGCACACGTGATAGTATTGTCCCATCTGTCATTGTCTAAGTGTTGTCACATTCTCACACTGAAAGGGTGTGAGATGGCCATAGATTTAATCAAAGATATTCTGATTGTGTGTCTTCCAGGGAAGGAGGAGAAGATGGAGACAGTCAGGGAGACGGCAGCCAACCAGATACCATCTCCATCGCCTCCAGGACGTCCCAGAACACTGTCGACAGCGACAAGGTAGGAAACACTCACAGTTCACCTAATGCCAAAGGAAAGTAAAGGATTTTACAGGCAGCTGATTGGCTCTGTGGCCCTTGATGAGCTGATGACCCACAGCTGTGTCAGCGCTACAGGGTCTCCCACTCAGCTACAATGGGTAGAAGCAGGGGCTGTGTTAGTGCCAGTGGCAGAAAGACTGTGTACAGACTGTGTTTGTGCACATGTGATCTCTTAAACGAAAGGGAATCCCAACTCTGTGAAGGTTTACTATAAATTAAGATTATGTGTGTGTTAAGGTATGTGTGTATTTGATGTGTGTGTATGAGAGGAATCCAGCAATGTCAGTATATGAACAGAGGATAGGTCAGCGATGAGAAACCTCTTCAGGTGGTGTGCAGGCGTCTGTCCTGATGCCTCCTACCAACCACCCTCTCACATCCAAGTAAGCCCACCTTTAATCCTTTTATTGTGACAGATTTAAGTGAAAATAGTAAGAAGGAAAACCGAGGTCCTGTGTTCTTTGTTTGTTTTCGTTTTTTATTGTGTGTCCTCTCTTAAAACCACCTTAAGAAATGATTGGGTTTAACGATAAAAGAGCCTCTTTTATAGTTGTTTAGGAGCAGGGTGTACCTAACTACGTCTGTTGTGTCACCCCTCCTGTGTTTTTAAAAAGTACTTACCAATGCTGTAGTACTTTCTGATACATGTTTTTGGATATGGCAAACCAATAGTAACAGTTAAAACCTGAATTTGGTATTTGGATGTAGCTGAATTACATTTGCAAATACGCAACAAGTCAGTAAATATGCAGTTGTTTTGGTGCTTTGAATTCCACAATTATATTTGTTGTTTTCAATTTGCAATGCTTGCTGTACCTCCCTTTTGACCGCTATGCAGACACATACACACACACGCACACACACACAGATGTCTGTCATGGCCTCCCACTGTACTGTTACACAGTGTGGCCTTTTCACTGTGCAACCCCACGCCCACACACTACACTGCCTCTAAATGTCAGCACCATGCACACACACACATACACACACTTCTTCGCTCAGTCAGAATGCCGTCAACAGTGAGGCTTGTGTGTGTGCTGTAGTATTTCCACTTCCTTCTTGATTTTATTCTAGTCTTTAACTTCCTATTTTTTCCCGATTTTAACATAAAAAACATGTGTTTACAATAAATGGAGGTGAACAACTGATACCACACACATACAGTAGAGCTGTACTGTAACTCTAAATGTGTGCGTGATGTTTTTATTGCATGTCCATGTTGGTCTCCCCACCTCTTCCTGTCCAATGAAAACATCATAATGAATCTTTCCAGCTTTTGTTGAGTGTGGGTGTGTTGTTGTTCAGCTCCAGTTTATTGTTTCTAGGATTTAGAGAAGACTCTAGCTTGCTTTTTTTGGATTCTCCTCTTCTGTTTTCCTGAAAGAATCAAAGAGAAAAGAAGTGCCTAGATTTGTTTTGATAAGTTTCATATTTCATACGCTGACACCGCGGAGCATGGCTTTCAATGTGAGCTGTATTTCTTGGATGTATTTTCATAGAAGGGGCCCTATGATGTTAATTCTCCGGTTCACATTAGTATTCTGTGTCTCTACTGTGACACTGTGGGTGTTTCTCAATCGCGAGTGCACTTGCTTGGTAGCACATGTCTGCCGAGCATCTTGCTTCAGAAGCGAGTCAAGAATACTTCCTGACATTTGGAGAACAAAGGGTGGAACACGCTAGCAAGTGTGCAGGTGTGCGTCATATGAGAGGGCCTTACATCTTCCGCCACAGATTTGGGGAAATTGGTCCGTGCGCAAAGCATTGTGGGGATTTTAAGACCGTGGAGTCTACTCATGTGCAGCCTCGATATTTCTCCAAACGGAGTACGCCGGGCTCGGTAGATTTCCAAGTATGCTGGAGATTGGAACAGTACTTCGGCGGCACTCGATGACGTAGTACGCTTGAAATAGTGGCTCTGAAGCAGCTTTACTCGAGATTGAGAAACACCCCGAGACTGTCTCCATGCTTTAATGTTCAAAAAGCTCTTTATTTGTCTCGAACTGCCTGCCTGTCTCTTCTCTTTCTCAGGAAGGTGCCGTAAAATGTAAGAAAAAATGACAAAACAATATCCCTTTTGACAAATTACGATCCTCCCTTTTCATTCACTTTGTCTACAGCACTTGTTTACTTTATCTTTGAGTACAAATGTGAAGGATAACTGGAGGCATGTCTGGTTTGAGAGATGATTATCTTTCTCCCAGGGGGTTAGATGAGGCAGAGCAGTGCTTTTTGTCTTGCATGTGAAAGGTGGTGCTGCTCCTTTTTGCAGCGTTCCCAAGGCTCTGCAGTATCTCCAGCGATGTTTTATCATAAAGTATACTAATTCTTTGTGTATTCTGGAGTTAATAAGTCAATATATGCTATTTGTTCAGTCAATTATTGGATCAGGCTTGTTTGTTTAACGCTCTTGAGGTGTACCTTTTGCTACATTTCTCTTGATACTGTAGAAGCCTTTCACTTTAAAGCTTTGGAAGTGTTTTTCCAATCAGCAGATGACTGTTTTAAACAAAACAAGACGAAACTTGAGGTGTACCTTTCCAAATTGTTTGAATACAATGGGTTTTCTTTCCAGTTGTGACATTTTCAGTGAGTCACAATCGGCTCTTACACACATACAAGCCATTCTAGCCCTACAGAAATGACTATATTAATGAAGAAAAAGGATATAAATTCCATAATGAAATCATTAACAATTTGTTTTGGTAGTCCATGGCCTATTGCCCTCTTGTTCTTGCCTCGCCTTTTTTTCTCGCCTCCGTTTTTCCTTGACTTGATGGACACACCCACCATTTGTTGCTCATTTTGCAGTCAAGCGGTCTTTTCTTCTTCCCTTTTTCAAATTTAACATATTTCTCTCCGTCTCGCTTTTTCTGTCTCCCTCTCTCCCACGTAAACTATAATAACAACCCAGCATAGTCAGATGTTCCACTGGCTGTCTGGGTCTATATGGTGTGTGTGTGTGTGTGTGTAGACGGGGTGGGAAACTACTGTTTCTGGTGGTTTTTGGACAAGTTTTATATGACGAGCCATCCCCCCCCCCTCTCGTCGTCTTTGCAGAGTTTTGCTTTTTTCCCTCTGTCCTTCTCTCGGTCTCAATGAAACCTTGTTAGTATGCTTATAAAAAACAGTAGTACAGAGTAATTAAGGTTACTTCAAACCACCTCTCTTTAGGGCTGCTCAATTATGGCAAAAATCATAATCTCGATTATTTGGGTCAATAATTGATATCACGATTATTAAAAACGATTATCCATTTACTTTGAAAACATCCATTTATTGAAAATAAATTGAACAGTATGTTTTTAACAGTTGATTACCCTGAACTTTAAGAATAATTCAACTGAAAAACCAATACAAAAAATAATAAAAATAAAATAATCGTTTTATTTCGATTACGTTGTTTCCGTAATCGTTGCAAGCCAAAATCGTAATTGCGATTAAAATACGATGAATTGAGCAGCCCCTACCTCTCTCACTGTTTGAGCAGCCGGTTGACATTAAGCAGCACTTCCGACAGATTGAAGCTCCTCCTGAAGTATTGACAGCATTGTTATATCTTGCATCTTGTTGTGGTCAGTGAGAAAGATGTGCTGATAGACAGAGAGGCTCTATGCATTTAAACATGAATTACATAAATACAATTCATGTATAGATAGGTCAAAGCGAATGGCATAGTTTGTAACCATCCATCCATGTTTTCTTTTAATTATGAAGACAATGGGTCCCTAGCCTGTTTTAGAAATAGACCTTAAAGGTGGGGTAGGTAATTTTGGAGAAACCAGCTCGAGTGTGCTAGAATTTGAAAATACACAGCCGGAACAAATCTGCCACTTCCTTACAGAGCCCCTCCTCCAACACACACGAACGCGCACATGACCAATGAGGGTACGAGATAAGTTTGTGCACAGATGGAAGGCTGACAGGCAGGTAGGCCATCCAGTTATTTTAGCCGGGCCGGCTAAAATGATTGGTCGTGCTTTTTACAGTACTACGGCTTCCACAGATGACATTTTTTTTTTGTCAAAGCACTTAAGATATTCATTGCTATCGGGATGTTAAGAGCATTCCATGGAATATAACAAAAAGTGTATCTCGAGCCGGTTTCTCAAACTTACCTACCCCACCTTTAACTTTAAAATATTTCAGGAAGTTATCAAACAATCACTGACGACCTTCCTTACTTGTCATTTATACAAAAATACTTATTGTGCTACTGTCAAAATACTAATGGACAGCTCTATGTCAGTAAACATTATTCCCTTCAGCTCTGTGTTGTTTGGGATTGGGCCAGTTCTCCAACATGGTGTTATGCTATTTGATAGCTATGTGACGTTGAGTGGAATATCTCTTTTCTGTGACGTTTCTTGGTACAGTGAGTCAGCTGTGGCACAGTCTGTGGTTTTCATGTTATTTAAAGCATTGTTCCAGCGGTTGACAGCTGGCAGCCCGCATGGCTCCACCACAGCCCTGTAGGTCAGAGGACAAATACTGTTTTTAGCCTCCGCCTTCATTTGGAGTAAAAAAATGTTGTTTCTTCTTTGAGCCATAACCAATAAAATCTGTAATGTAAAAAAAATCTACAAGCACATTTCTCCTATAGGACTGAACATGCATCACTGGTTGGAAACGGCCTCAGCAACCTCTGGATCCATGTTTATCCCAGTGGCTTGAATGAATTAAATAGTTCATGACGCCTCACTAGTGTCAGACTTGGTCATCCAGAGGAATTATTTCAGCTTTTAAGTTAAAAGCCCACTAACACAGGGGATTAAAAAGAACCTCTTATTTTCTCAAATACCTCATGTGTACGTCTGCCTCTTTAGGCCACTTTAAGCCATATTGCAACACATTTTCTATTTATACAGATATTCATGTTTCCTAAATCCTAGTGACTTTGGAGATCTCTGACTTTTCCTCTAACTCCATCATTAAGCTGATATTTCTGACTTTGTGGAA